AGTTTTGATGTCTACTTTTAATGGTGGAGTTTGGGGGGGGGGGGCAGGTCCCCTGTGTGTGTGGACCAGATTTTGAGAGAGTTAGTTCAGTAATGTGCTTTCTGTCTGAATATTTAGATGTCAGTCATGTTTGTTTGCATGTTAGCCTGTCTATATGCTGTGTGTGTGTGTGTGTGTGTGTGTGTGCGCGCACAGACTGCTGGTCATGCGTTGGACATCTCAGCCTTGCTGAGGGCGATGGCCAGCTCCAAGTCTTCCTGCTCCTGCTGTCTGAGCCTCTTCAGCCAGCTCGCGCTCTGCTCGCTCACTCTCCCGCTTCGCCCACTCCAACTGCTGAGCCTCATTCCCAAACTACAGAGGCAGAGAGGGGGAGAGGGAGATGCATTCTGTAACATCGCTGACTTAATCTGTCTTAAGTGATGTCTGACATTTTTAAACATTGATCTCTATTACATAAATGTCTGTTATTCAAATAAAATGTCACTGACTACGTGAGAGGCAGCACAAAGCTCTTTCTTCCCCCCACAATGATGAACAGCAGTGAGATGGACAATAATAATAAGTGTTGGATTTCCTACTTTATTTTCAGCTGAATGTTTATTGGACCTAGTAGAGCAATATTTAGGCTCCTTTTAAGGTACACCTGTAAAATGTAATGTAATTCAAAACAACAGCTCAGCCATAAACTCTTCCTTTACAAAGATAATTCAAGTTTCCTCTTTCATTTGATTACTGTAAAATGATTTGAAGGAACTGAATTATATTTGTGTATTAGACTCAAAAACTACATGAAGGTGTAAACGCCTTATTTACGTCAGTTCAAATAAAAGTTTGGTTAAAAGCAATACTTGCCAGTTAAATCCTGGGATACACATGTAACATGCGTCCTTCATTCATGTTAGAGACTGAGCTTTCTGCTTATAGTTGTTGGTAATCTTAACAGAGTAACAACTCACTTGGTCATAAGTATGAACATTTTGGTAATCCACACAGTAAACGTCATTTCCTTTTTCAGCAAACACATGATGTAAGATCTATCAAAACAAATTCTCCAACATATATCTGAAATGAACTGCCTGTATGGTCATTATCACATTATTTGATAACATACCCAGGCTTTCTTTGTGTGAATTTTATTGTGTGTTCAATATCTTACCTTGACTTTGTCAGGTCCTGTCAGAGAGGTGGATTACAGAACAGAGTTATAAACCAGAAATCTCTGAACTCAGTGGCTCTAGTCTATCTTACAGGACGTCACACCACAGCACAAAGATACTGTAAAGGGATACCTGCTGTTCAGTCCTCTCTGAAACACTTTATCTGTCCTTCTCATTTGTCTTTAGCTACATGCTAGTATTTTTTTTTATTGAAAGCAAGTTATTCAGCCAGCCTCAAACTAGAGGCTAGTTAGTGATCATGAAGTAAATCATGAATTGCAACGCTAACAAGATGCTGAAGTTGAAGTAGACACTTGCCATTTGCCAATAAGTGCCACAGATGAGACAAATGGAATGGTGAAACCGAACTGTCAGAGAATCCCTTCAAGTAGAAACAAACAACACAGAACTGAAGGAAAGAGCAGCTGAACATCAATTCAACAAGAAGAGACGTGCCATGCAGAAAGTGAGAGAAATAAAAGAAAGAAATCTGACCAAATCACCCCTATTTTAGCTTCATTACACTGGCTCCCAGTATGTTTTAGAATTCTATTGATCACTTTTAAAGCTCTTCATGGCCTCTCGCCCTGTTATATTTCTGACCTTTTAGCCTATACAGGCTAAATAGATTCTATATGAACTAAATGAAAGGGATTTTTTTTAAAGTAGACATACAGTGGGGAGAACAAGTATTTGATACACTGCTGATTTTGCAGGTTTTCCTACTTACAAAGCATGTAGAGGTCTGTAATTTTTATCATAGGTACACTTCAACTGTGAGAGACAGAATCTAAAAATCCAGAAAATCACATTGTATGATTTTTAAATAATTCATTTGCATTTTATTGCATGACATAAGTATTTGGTCACCTACCAACCAGTAAGAATTCCGGCTCTCACAGACCTGTTAGTTCTCCTTTAAGAAGCCCTCCTGTTCTCCACTCATTACCTGTATTAACTGCACCTGTATGAACTTGTTACCTGTATAAAAGACACCTGTCCACACACTCAATCAAACAGACTCCAACCTCTCCACAATGGCCAAGACCAGAGAGCTGTGTAAGGACATCAGGGATAAAATTGTAGACCTGCACAAGGCTGGGATGGCCTACAGGACAATAGGCAAGCAGCTTGGTGAGAAGGCAACAACTGTTGGCGCAATTATTAGAAAATGGAAGAAGTTCAAGATGACGGTCAATCTCCCTCGGTCTGGGGCTCCATGCAAGTTCTCACCTCGTGGGGCATCAGTGATCATGAGGAAGGTGAGGGATCGACTGCACCGTATTGAGGGGAGGATGGATGGGGCCATGTATCACGAGATCTTGGCCAACAACCTCCTTCCCTCAGTAAGAGCATTGAAGATGGGTCGTGGCTGGGTCTTCCAGCATGACAACGACCCGAAACACACAGCCAGGGCAACTGGCTCCGTAAGAAGCATCTCAAGGTCCTGGAGTGGCCTGGCCAGTCTCCAGACCTGAACCCAATAGAAAATCTTTGGAGGGAGCTGAAAGTCCGTATTGCCCAGCGACAGCCCCGAAACCTGAAGGATCTGGAGAAGGTCTGTAAGGAGGAGTGGGCCAAAATCCCTGCTGCAGTGTGTGCAAACCCGGTCAAGAACTACAGGAAATGAATGATCTCTGTAATTGCAAACAAAGGTTTCTGTACCAAATATTAAATTCTGCTTTTCTGATGTATCAAATACTTATGTCATGCAGTAAAATGCAAATTAATTATTTAAAAATCATATAAATGTGATTTTCTGGATTTTTAGATTCCGTCTCTCACAGTAGAAGTGTACCTATGATAAAAAATTACAGACCTCTACATGTTTGCAAGTAGGAAAACCTGCAAAATCAGCAGTGTATCAAATACTTGTTCTCCCCACTGTATGTTAAAAGTCAAGCTAATTATTTTTCATAAATAATTAGATCATTTATATACAGTAAAGCAGTCAGTTTGTGGGTGATTGAGTGTGGTGATAAAAAGCAAACCTACAGTAACATAACAAGACAAAGACATACACAACAAGAATGTACAGCAGATGGAAAGCACTGATCTACTAACAACAAGGTAGATGGTGGACACAGTAGTACACACACACAGCAAGGTCATGTAGGGCAGACAGATTCAAGAGCTGAGAGTTGAGAAGTGATACTGCTGTGTCTCATATCAGCCAATTAGACAGAAGCATTATTCCCAGCTAAGAACGGTGAACAGTGATTATCTGCCTGACTGAAATTAGAAATGCATGTTATTTTGAAAACAAAAACAGTTATCTGAATGATTATTGTGAGTTCTTGTAGTTATTTGCTAATGGGTTACAGCAGGTTTGTGTTTGTTTCTCCGAGACTCTACTAGTCCATCGTGCCAACACACCACTGCTAATCTGTAACGGCCCGGGGAAACCCTAACAAACCTATGATATTCTTCCTGCCAAAACAAGCAAACATGTAAAGGGCTGACGCCCGTTTCCTGCACTTTAAGAAGATGACAGTCACACTGCAGCTCTGTTCTGCAGCCTACACAGCTTTAATGCCAAACTGCGATTTGTAAATTGGGTTCAAATGTTGTCACACAGTGGTCAAAGGGGTCATTTTAGGTTTTAGTTTCCCTCTCAATAACAATCACAGTCAGGAAGTTAAAGTGAGCCCTTGAGATACTTGGATACAGTTTCACAAACTTCATAAAAATTGTCCTGTAATTACCCTTCGCTGCTTTTGGTTGACCTTTAGCTATGGTATATGTCCTTGTTCTCACAACAAGTCACCACTGCTGAATAAATGTTTAAAGGACTAGTACATCACTGAGAAGATCCGTCTCATGTCGGCATTAAGTACATTGTTGGAGCCAGGACGATGGTTCGCCTAGCATAAAGACTTGAAGGAGGTGGGAACAGCTAGCCTGTCTCTGGCTATGGTGCAGGTTCCTAGATTCAGTCCATGAGCACAGGTTTTGGTCTCAAACTCAAACAAGACTCCAACAGCTCCCAGCATGGAACTCCCTCTTTAAACACAAACTGTTCTCTTATTACGGTCTGTGTACAGATTAAAGCTCTAAGCTCTTCAGCTTCTGGTGCGCCACATCCCTGTGACTCGAACCAAACCCAATTTCTCCACAGGGACATTAAAGTATATTTTTCTCTATTCCAAAAAAAGAGATACTGTGTGCTAATTAGAGCGCTGTAGAGGATGAACTCTTTTAGATTATGAAACAGCAGAGCAGAGTGTGATTAACAATCTGAGAAGAGATAGTGATAGTGAACAGATAATGATTAGAATGAGCTGCAACAGAGAATCTAAAGCAGAGTGAGCAGGCTGCCTTCGTGAGCGGTCCTGTCTTGTTAACAACCTAACTGTAGGTCAGTGCATTCACTTTAGTAACTTACTGTATTCTATTGTACTTTTTAATCTGTATTGTGACAGGTGATATATTCTTTTCTGGTGTTTTGTTATGAATATAAAATTGGATGCAGCTTACTGCATTGGACATGCATTAGATGGTTGAAATCAATATCACAGTATTAACTGTATTAAACCAATGTTTGTCTGATATTGATATATATAGCAAATGTATTTAAAATAATTGAGGGTAATGTGGTGTCGGGGACTGTGTTCCTCTTATGGGTTACAGAAGACGTTACCCACGTAGAACGTGAACTTTTTTTTGTGTCTAATCACTTTAATCAATTTGTTTGTAATCATTAATACAGACAACGGAATTCTGTCATTACATGATATAATTATATTGTCACAATAACCAGTAATCACCCTGCCCTAGTTAGACAAAACCTATGCTGGCTCAGCGTTAATACTGTTCAATAGTTGTCTGGTTATGTTGACTCTGTAACTATTTATACTTGGTATCCGCTTTTACAACATGTGCTGCTGTTAAAGCACCACTTCAATCATCAGCCAATCACAATGACTCCATTGCTACCTGGTAATAACATGCAAATTATCTGAACAACAGATTACAACAATTATTCGATTAGTTGGTTGAAACAATTGTTAGTTTCAGCCCTGATCTGGAAAGGACATGTGATCCTGGGCCTTTGCCTTCACACCCGGTATTAATAAGCATTCTCTTTATCTCTTAATTCTGCCCACATTGTGATCAGATCTCAATATACAAATTAATTTTTTTTAACTGATCCACTGTCACTGTAAGACTGGTAATCATATTTCAGTCCAAAAACATGCTGTTTTAAGCCATATAGTAGTGACTGAGAAGCATTTATTACACTTCTATAATGTACTTCTACTACCCTTACAGAGGTCTGCTACACCCTCTGCCTTTGAGCATTCATTAGTCTTTAGGAGTAAACCAAAATCACTATAACCTAAATCTAGTGACTGTGCTGGGCTCCAAGCAGAGCTTTGTGGCCTGCACTGGACACTGACAGTTAAACAGTATCACTCATCTCAACTTACAGAACTGAAGTCTGCAAAATCCGATGTAGATTCTTTAAGAGGTTTACTTGATGCTGAAGATGGAGCGAAAGGGTCTTTGCCGCTGAAGGGGTCTCCTGGCCCCTTTTTACTCTGAAATGGGTCGATGGCATCACCGCTGAATGGCTGGAAGGGGTCACATGGTTTGGAAGGGTCATCTGTGCCAGACATGCTCACTGGTGTACTCTTACCTAAGGACATAAAGGACAAAGGGAACCATCACCACAGAGAGGAGACACGTTTTATATCATCACCACCATTCCAATACATGCTGGCTGACTAAAACCAGGCATACACAACCTGTGCACGGCACTGATGTGACTTTGTCACGTGACAACAATTTGACAAGTGACTTGAAAGTAAAAATAAGTCTAAATCTGAAAATCGAAGGCATTCTTTAAAAAAGATCAGTAAAGGGAATAAGGGTGTCTGGGACAGCACAGAAACAATCTGCTCTGTGGAGAAAAAGCATAAAAACAAACATGTAACCAGATCAAGTGCTAATGTGTTCAGTGATAGCTGAGAAATACCATGACTCATCACTGCAGATCACATGAGTAATTCTCACCTTAGTGAACTATGTTGACAATACAGGATCTGATTTGATCTGTTCTGAATTAAAACACACAAGTACTACATTTTCTGGTTCTCACAGTTCTGCCCACGCCCTTCTTCACCCCGGTGTCACCTCAAAGCCTCTGAAAGCCGCAAAAGTTTCATCTTCACATGCGGCACACCAAAACAACTCATAGTCCAGCACTAATGTTTCTGTAAGTTATCATATGCAGTGCTACATCCTCCTAAGAGAGGAAAGATATAAAAACAGCTGGTATAGGAAAAAACACCCAGCAAAAGACAACTGCCAAAGTACTAAAACCAAAAGTGATACCCCATAATCCACTGAACCATTCTCAACGGTTTCCTGGTAAATCATTTGGTTGGGTTTCTGGCCACATAACCAACTGTTGGTTCACCAATTTACCAACTACACAAACAGACAGGTGTTGTTTCATCACTGCTATATTTCAAAGCAAATACTGGCACCAAAGCAACCAGTAATAAATACTGGAAAATTAGAGAAACAGCTCGAAGGAGAAAGTTCATCCTCGACCTTCAGAATAGTGGTTAGAAAGCTCAACATACACCAGTTCATTTATAAAGTCAGATTTAATACTGTAAATAGCCTTTTAACCCAAAGCCAAGATATTCAGTTTACAATACAGATTGATACAGTTTGCATTTTTGCATAAAAAATGACTACTGACAATTAATAGATTATCAAAATAGGTGTAGATTAATTTCATGACATCTGACTAATTGTTTCTGCTCTATATAAAACATTTTTATTAAAATGTATTGTGTCAAGAGGTAAAAAATATGTAAAAATCAAAATTTTTGTGTTTTTTATTTAGCATATGTGACAAATAATCTCAACTGACAGTCCACTAACTAGCTTTATTCTTGACTTTAAATTCATTTGTTACATTTTAATATCTCTTTGACTGCATTTAAGAGTCTTATAGAGGCCTTATATTCAGTCAGTATAACTGAAGATTTGCAGAGACGGTGAAAGACATGCTGCTATCCCTGAGACCAAACAGTTCAATACTTTTGGGAAATTAACCCTAAAATTCAATTGTCATTTACACATCCCTGTTTGTCAGACTCAGTGATGCTGTAGAACCACAGGTGGATCTATACAAGAGTAAAAATATGACAAAATAATAACCATAGTAATGACAGTTTCTATTAAAAGGGAGCTGAAGTTGGGGCTGGCAGAGGATCGTGGGAACGTTAAGAGTACATCATGTAGCTTGTATAGGTGTTAAACCACAGAACCAGTCAAACCGTTGTCATACAACACACACATACACATTTAGTCCTATTACCCAGATAACTTGGCTGATCGGGGTGAGCAGTTCATTTCACACTCCACGCCGAGCAAAACTGCATGCCTGGCAATCAGTTTTTTCCTCTTTCAGTAAACTGCATACACACACTCACACTTGAGAAACCACAATCATGAGCTCCACCCTGTTTTAAAATAATCCACTACATTAGTGGCATCTAATTTTAATGTCTACCACAGGATTGTACATGCAGCATGCCGTATTTAATCTACTGAAAACAATACAGCTACAGCATTGTGTGCCCAATCATGCCAGTTTATTTGTAGCACTGTCACTGCAGCCTTGCCCTATTCACACATCATCAGGTGATGAGGGAAAGTGACAGAGCATGCATGTGAGTGTGTGAAGAAAACATAAAGACACTAGTGTGTAACAACTGTTACACTGGTAACACTGCTGCCATTCGCCAACTACACACAGCCTGCAGCCTGACCTTCTCTGAACCACTCACCCTTGTAAACACACACACACACACACACACACACAAAGGGAAGAGAGAGGAAGCAAGTTAGGGTGTGTCTGAAAACAACAGGCCAAGCAAACCACATATCATCGCTCTTACAACATCAAATTCACATGCGCTTACAAACAAACTGCAGAGCAGCAGTTTGTGAACAATCACACTATAAAAACTGTAAATCTTGAGCATTAATGTGAGGTTTAGCCGATGGTCATTGCAGAGTGAATGGTAGAGATTGCCTGACTGACAGCTGTCTGACTGTTGCTGTTGAACAAATTAAAAACCTGCTATCAAAGATGTGACAGTCTTTTCTCTAGTCCCCTTCTACAACCACTGAGTCAACAGTGTTAGCATCTGGCACAGTGTAACAGAAGCAAATTTAAGATGAGGATTCTGGGTAACACCAAATCCCAAGGGACAATGTTGTGCTGTCCCCCAGATACTTTTTGCCAAACATCCTTTCTGATCATTACATCCATAAATAAAAAACTATTTGAAAGACCACAATTTGAAGCATTACATCCCACATTTTTCACATATCTTTTCATTATCTATAATTTGTTCCTATGTCATAAATGTGGGCCAGCAGTTGGAGCACTAAAGCTACACTACACTGAAGTTCATGTGTTATGGGCACTGAAGTGGGAAGTGAGAGCTCTATACTACTACCAATCTAATTTCAGGCTTGATTTTAGTTGCGTGTTCACACTTGGTTTTTGAGGGTCCTGTTGATGTACACTACTGTCCCATCATTGCAATTCACTAAGGAAATGGAGGGACTGTAGTCAAACTATTCCAAGAAGATGTTAGCAAACAAGCAAAGAAAAAAACAGATGACAGCACAGGGCACTTGATATGTAAAATCAATAAAAAACCTAATGTTGCTACATGATATTTGAGATGTTTCCAGTTTAACTAGTAGGTCAGCAGCAGAGATAGGCTGATCAGATCAAGATAACTTGTGAATAAAGTGAATTGATGTAAAAGTGAATTACTGCTGGTCCTGTATCAAAACATCATCTGAGAAGTGACAAACGCAAACTTCCAAACAAATGACAAACTCGCTATTATCAATATTACAGGATATACAAGTTTTAATATGAGATGTTACAGTGCACATCACTCCTTGCCACTGCCAGCTAAGTGCTTGAATTGAGAAACTACATAGCATATACAGTGTGTGATAGCAGTGGTTTGGCAAATACGTGAAGGCTTTTATCTTCTCTGTACCCACAATGACATTCTTTCCTGTTGACAGATCAGAGCAGAGACTTTCTGCGTTGGAAAAAAAAGCATTTCTCTGGTGAAACAACATCTATATTTCAACACAGCTTACAACTATACAGTTTACTACATCAAAGTTGCCATTCATAAAGATCTTATTGTAGTCTTTCACTTTAAAATGAAAATTTCTTTACAAAAAATAGTATTTGTATTAGCATTGGGTTACTGAACTCCTTTCAAGGCAACTGGTATTTTCATAGTGAAATATTGTATCCATTTCAGCAGATGAGAAGCAAGTGTTCAGCACTTTTCAAAAACACAGCTGCAAAGTGTTTTATAGAACAAAAAAATAGTGCACACAGTCAAGATAAAAACAATATAAAACATAATAACAAGGTAAATTAAAACTGGTAAAAAGCAAGTGATAAAAGAGGAATAATTTTCTATTGATGAGGCAGGCTGTGTGAACAGCTAAATAGGTTCTACCTGAGAAGCGCAGGCAGCAGGTAAGCTCATGAAGCACGAGTAAATCTATAATGTAGACAGGAGCAAAGCCATGTAGGGCTTTAAAAGTTTAAATTCAATTCTAAACTTAACAGGTAGCCAGTGTAATGTTCCAGGATGGGTGTGATATGGTCTTGTCTCTTAAAGTTTGTCTTTCGCTGAGCCCTGAATACAGGGAATTAAAGTAATCCAGATGTGATGAGATGAAAGCATGGTTGACTTTTTCAAGGCCTGCACACTTATACTTTTTTAACTTTTGCGATGTTTCAAGTTGGAGGAAGCGTGATTGTATTGCTTTGGCAATCTGTGTGTCAAAACCAAGCTCCAAGTCAAAGATCACCCCAGATTGTGAGCGGAATGTTTGATGTTGGAGGACAGTAAGTAAGTAAGTCTTAAGTTCAGACAGGAAGAGTCTAAGATAGGATTTTTCCCAATTTGGTGTTACAGAAGCAAATCCTAACTAACTTTAGGAATCCTGTCTTATCTCAGGTTAGGAAATCCTAAATACTCAATCCAACATCGCTTATCAACTTTTATGTCTGTTACCTAGCAACCGATTCCACTTTTCTCATCTCGCCGAGCTAAACGGCTTTTTAATCGCTGTTTTTTGGCCGTTTTTTAAATCAAACATACACTGAAATGGAGCAGAAACAACAACTATCATTGGACTTCATGTCAGATGACTTAGAGGTGTTTGTAACCTCCATCGAGAAATCCAAATCCACATAACGCTTAAGCATAAGCTGGGGAGATTAAAGACAGAGAGAGGGCTAAAATAGTGGACAATATCTGGCATCCAGCGGAGCGCTGATGCTGTCAAAAAGAAATTTACAGTGATATGATGACACAGGCCACTGTAGTGTCCAAAGAGCAGATGAAACCGCTGGTGGCTCCTCCTGTGCTCCCTCACTGATCCCGGCAGAAACCCGTAGGCTTCTCTTCTCGGGAAAGTAAATCATAATAATAAAGGCTGCGGGCTAACGTCATCATTAGGGCCCGAGCACGACCGTGTGAGGTCCCTATTGAATTTGCTCGGATTATTATTATTTTTTTTTATTTTTTTTTTTTTTTCTTTTTTCTGCAAAGTA